TTTCGGAATACCTAGCTTATGTGTTCACTATTTAAAAAAAATATTTAATATAACACTTATATATCAAAGGTAAAAGGTCTGGGGAGTTGTAGATGAAGCGGAATGAGGAAAAAAAATTAAGTAGATACAGGGTCTGATTAGCTACATGGTTAGATTCTATCCTGCAGCCGAAACTGTCAACATCCTTGACTGACTAATTGGATGTGCCCCGCGAACCGTTTTAGTCATTTGTAAAGATTTATCATCTCTACATTTCGATTCCGAAATGGAGTTGTCAGTTAAACGATCTAACAACAGGTATGGTGGCTCATGATCTAGATAAGCCGGCTTTAGCCTTTCAATACTTATTGTGTCGATGTTTCTATGTTTTTCTATCACGAAATATTTAGATTTTCTTGAGACGACTTTGAAAGGACCTTCAAATGGAGGACTGAGTGGTGCTTTTATTTTGTCACATCTTATCCAGACGTGCGTGCAATTGCTTAGGTCTTTAGGTATATATACGGCGCGCGATTGTTCACGAGTATTAATAGGCTTAAGTTTAGACATGTGGTCCCGTAGTTGATCTACATAATTTTCTAAATTAAGTTTTTGACTGTTAGTATTAGGGTTAACAAATTCACCGGGTAGTCTCAGAGTTGTTTCGAAAACCAGTTCCGCAGCTGAACACTGTGCGTCAGTTTTGACAGATGTTCGTATTCCCAACATAACTAATGGTAGGAATTCTGTCCACTGATTGGTGTTCGAGTGAGATATAAGGGCGGTTTTTAGCTGACGGTGAAAACGTTCTACCATCCCATTAGCCTGAGGATGATATGCAGTGCAGCGTATCCTATTGGAGCCTAGAAGTTTAGTCAAGTTATTAAATAGTTCGGATTCGAATTGCGCTCCTCTATCCGTCGTTATTGTTATGGGTGTACCAAAAATGGTTACCCAGTTCTGCATGTAAACCTTGGCTACTGTTTCCGCTGTGAAATCCGCTATCAGTATGACTATAGGGAATCTGGTAAATCGATCTATGCATGTAAAAAGATAATTAAAACCGTTTGACCGTGGTAAAGGACCTATCAAGTCGATATGCACATGGGCAAAACGTGCATCTGGTTGCGAGAAAACACCTATGGGTGAATTCGTGTGACGATTAATCTTTGATTGTTGACATGCTGAACATTCTCTAACCCATTTGTGTACATTCTTCTGTAAATTCGGCCATATATATCTGGCATTGATTAGTTTTGCTGAAGCTTTTGCGCCAGGATGAGATAAAGAATGAAAGTTATTATATATCAACTTTCGCATACTTTTGGGAACGAATGGTCGCTGAATTGCCTTGGTCGTGTCGCAGTAACCCTCGTGCTATTGATAGAAAAAACCAGACAAGTAGTGAATAGGTCTTTATTTCGATCTTCGCGCAGTCACAGTGGAGCGTGGGATTATCTGTTCAGACAAACAAAGGCTCTCAACATTCAATATAAGATAATAGGGAATATAACGCTTATACAAAACAAGGAAGTGAATGAATGCATGAACAATACTGTTTTGGCATATGCTTGGTTGTTTGGAGTCAACTCTTAACCAACCAAACTAACCTGTTACAAATACATTAAACCCTACTGATCAGATTTAAGAACTGTGTTTCTTGGGGTCTGCGCCGAAGCACTATTCGTAAGGAAAAATTATGTATATGACTGGCGTAGGGCATCTGTGCCAGATGATTAGGCGCCTGCTTGAGTTAGATGGGAATGGTGTGTCCAAAAGTCAACGTCGAAGTCAAACCTTGCGGTCTGCACCTAACATGAAATACCCCTTCGTCGTATCAAGGTACTATAGCTACCCTGAGGATCGTATAACACAAAGGAAGTCATTACAAAATATATTAGTAAAAGTGGGTACAAAGAAGAGATTGCGACCACCACCACATGTGTCAGTCCTTGATGTACGGGTAATTGATGCGCATGGGTTGCCCTTGAACTTGACAAAGACCGATGGACTGCTTGACATTTATTGATTCGACTACCGAATGATCTGGCTAGAACCCAGTATCATTTCACTGACCATACAGGTATAATTCTTGCTTTCATTTTTCTTAAACTGAACGGAGAAACTAATTCATAATTAATTAGGTGGTCACGGAGGAAACCCTTGAATACTTTTCCTACTATCAGCTAGTTTCATTGTTCCTTCTTGTTCATTATATCTTCGTCCCTACACAAAAGCAACGATAATTTGTTGTTAACAAACAGGGATCTTCGTTACGAGCAGGGATTTGTTAATATATTTATCATCATCTGAACCTTCTCTCACAATCTCCCTGAGGACTCAAATTGCTTTAGAACAGACATAATATTAGGATCAGAAACATTTTATTTGAGGCACCAATATATAAACGAAAAACTTCTTAAGTACTCATCTGTCTCTTTTCATTTTAAAACCATTAATTTTCGAGGGCGTTTATGAATTTCGAAGTTTAAGGTGACAGAATATTCTATGGTCAACCTCTGAAAATATTCTAAATTATTTTCAGTGTTTAACTAAGAATTAATCTGAAAGGCTCATTCATCTAGTCCGCTTACCTGAGGAAGGATACTACTCTCTTGGAACACGTACATAAAGAAGATACATGGAGTAAAAGACAAACCCTAACCAGCTCTTCTGGAAACTATAAACTTGCAAATTGTTCAAAACAAAAAATGAGAATAACGTCATAATGATATAGCATATTATTTTAGTAGATCGACGCTTCGTTTCATTCACAAATTACAATTAATAGGGAGACAATTGAGGCTAGAACTTAAATGAACCAGACCAAAAATCCAAGCCAACTTTTTTATGGCCGGCAGTCTTAGAATACAAAGCTCATTTTTTAAATCAAATGTTATTGTACCTTCTACAGGGCTTTCCTAAAGAAGGCTCGACATTTATATAAGTTCTGCAACTGCTGGAGGTGATTGTCCTCATCTTGCCATTTAGTTACGGAAGGGACACAACAAGCAACATAAATTTTCATCATCAAGAAAAATCCCCTACCACCCAGAAGTAGACTTTAAAAAACAAGCGTCCAACTAAATCTATCAGGAAGAATTAAATTTCGGCATCCTAACAACGACAGATGCAAGAATTTCAGACGGTTGGATATTCCAGTTTTACAGGACAATCTAAAGCAACTGGGCTGGGAAGTTCAGTCCCATCATGATATGGATGCGCATTAGGATTTCTTACTGCATATAATTTTTGGTGTGTTCTGAGACCGGTCACCAAAAATTAAAAACAACTTAAAGTCGTAAGGAATCATAACCTTTGCTTGCCAAGTCGCAAAAGATACTGATGAGCGGAATGCAAACGAACTAGTAACAACAGACAATTCAAACAAGTAAGGAACCAATTCACAAAGGTATTGAGGGAAGAAAGGCTTCAGGATCTGATAAAGCTTATCGATAAATTTGTCTCCAGTCTGTGAAGCCTATTCCGTAATTCAGCCTCTATTCGACAACCCAAAACTAAATGTTTACAAATTTTAGGTATTGATGGTCCAACGAACTCCGCCAACCTTCCGGCAGAACAGTTTTTCCAGACATTTCAACCGTCGCACCCTGAATATATCGACCCGAGCTAAATCTTCAACTCAATAGAACTCAGAATTGAACCTAAGCGCCTATCAGTGTATCAGAAACTCCAGCACCTAAACATGGAATCTTCTCCTGATTCCGGTGTGGTCCATTCTGTTATATTGAAGGAAGCAGTTCCAATCTTGGCACTAAGAAATTAGAAACTGGCCCAAAAGAGGTCGACACAGAGAATCTTCAAGCTACCGACTGGTAACACTCCTCTCAAAACCTTCACAAATTGTGGAGTCTCTGATGTGCAGCGATCTGCGTGACTACTTACTCTTCATAAATTTCTTCTCACACCAACAGCACGGTTTTAGGAAGGGTTATTCTTTTATAGACAACTGACTAGCCGCAATAGACAGATGGATAAAGATCCTTGATGACAGAGGGAAGTTCGACGTCATGTACTTTGAATTCTCAAAAGTCTTTGATAGGATTAATCATATATGTCCTATGAATGAGCTCAAACGGTTAGGTATCACATTATATTTAGTTGATTGTCTTTCTTTATATCTAACCGAGACCAGGGTAAAATTCACGTTCTCAGGCTGCGGAATGTCCTGTTGTGGGCTCCCAGGGCTCAGTGCTAGGACCGCTCTTTTCTTGAGTTATTCCACAGCAGGCATTGTCATATTTATTACTTTTTACTGTTGTTGTGAAACTCGGGAGAGGTTTTTGCAGCCAAGATGATGAGCTGGTATTTAGGGAGGATCTGACTCGACCTCATAGTTAGGCGGACAACAATGAACTTAACTTTAACACTCTGAAGTATAAAGTAGCCCATATGGGACATGCTGGAGGCTACAAATACGACTTAGGTTGCTCTCTTCTAGAAGTATATGAAATTTTAAAAAAATATAAAAGTGTTGGTACCCTACGATTTGAAGTCTTACGCTAACTGTGAAAAAATGCTCTACGAGCAAAACTTGCACTTGTAACATTGAAGCGAATTTTCAACCACTTCAATGAAAGAACTTTCTCGATAATCTCCAATAGTTATGCTCGTCTTTGAAGGTGATCTTTCAATGGCTTGTAGCATCCTAAACAGTTCTGGTCATCCCCTTAAACACAAAACTTAGGGGGAACACCTATAAACTGGAGACACAACTCAGAAAAACGGATTGTACGCACACCTTCTACTCCTCAAGAGCAGCCGAATGTTGGAATTAGATGTCGACTGACATAGCTCGAGCGACCTAGCAGGGGTAGTTTGAAAGCAACCAAGATATATTCTTAAGGACCAAGGATAGTATCTCATCATAATTTACTAATTCTTTCTTTCTATTTATCGTCAAATACACCTAGGTTCTTATCTAGAGGCATCTGTAATCCACTGCTTCTGGATACGGAAGTCCGTTATCGAAAGTTTGTATTCCGTTCATAATTATTTGAACTATTTGAAATTTTCGAAGGTCGCTGCGTTGGCGGGATTTGCGGATGACAGTCACATCGCGTGATAATGAGTAGTGTACAGATGAAGAACGTGGACAAGGTACTGGAAGTGTCATCCACTCCAATACACTCTAGAGGATGTAATTCTGGCTATGAAGAGCAAACGAAGGTAAGTTGGCGATATTTTCATCACGAATTTTTGCTTAGGATTCGCGTCTCATATTATCATCAGCTAAGAAAAGATTGTCTAGTAAATCAAACTCAGAAACCGGTAGCTTCGACTCAGGTATTTTTAAGAAAATTATTTTTTTACTAATTAGCTATTTAATGTAACAAAACTACTATCCCGTTTTATTGAAACGTGTACTTATGGTTCTCTAAATGTCAGTAATTGTGTTTATAATAGGTCCGTATTATAAACGTCTATTTCACTTGTCTACTTTGTTTTTCTTAAGTTTTGCCTAAACTAATTTCTTTGGCTGTAATATTGCAGCGCTTTGCACAATTTTCTCAGTTATGAGTCTCAATATATATTGGAAACTGCGATATTGTTATTTTCATGTAAAATAAAACCCGGTCTTCATAAAAGGTTTAATACTTTCACAAGATTCGTTTCATTACTCCTTGTAAACTGAAAAATGGCTATCAACGTGATCTATTAGAATTTGTTTGCACTTACTACTTTATTTTCTCAAATGTTGACGTATTTTTACAAAATGACCACGACTTCACGTTATCCTACCATACGGTGATAAAGTTAGCATACTAAGCTACCATAGACGTGAGTATACAGTAATGCACATGAAAATACTCAATAAGAACAGAGGAAAGCATGGTGATATTACGTGGGGTTTTAGTTTGGTAGTCTGTTTTGATTTCTCAGAAGTCAAATTAGCCTCGAAATGAAAATATGTGGGAGTTATACTCTTTCTTGTTCACATAGATATAAAAATAATTGTTTTTCATCGTGTCACTATTTAGAAATACTGATCTAACTTAGTATGATCATTTGTAGCTGGTTGTTTATTAGTTATCTACGTAATGATATACATACGGCTTGGAACAGTCGTACCCGTTCAATTTTTCGTACGAGTATGGTATTAGGACGAAATTAAAATAACTGACGGATTTGTTTAGATAATCGAAAAAACAGTATTAGAAAGTGCAAACAGTTTCGACATAGCGAATCTATTAAAGTCCTCTAATGGTTGCTCTGCTTGTGAATCTAAGAAACGACATACAAATCCGCCTATATAGACAAATCACTCGCTTTATCGAATCCCTATGAGGACCAAGGTTGGTTTTTAGGAGTTCTCATACTATTCTTGGTTAGGCTTTCGAATTTAGGGTTAGGATTGAAAGGTTCAAGTTTGTATTTTCATCATCGGCTGAAATTAGTTATGATGCAAAAAACTGCTTTGTAGTTGCATGGCTATAAAAAGGCACTATAATTAGTTCGCCCATAAACTATAATGCTGATAGGTCGATGTTTATTTTTGAACCAAGATTGAAATTTAAGAATGGTATTTATTTGCTTGCTATATAAAATATACTGAAATGGGATTGAACATTTAGTATGTTTAATAATATCACGTTTACTCCATTGTAGCGGAAATAGTTTTTCGTCGCTATTTTAGATTTTCTGAGCACTATAGAAAAATATTTTTACTGCTTGTCATACTTGCTAACGTGATAGTCGCGTTCTTGGTTCTGATTAGTTCGCCCCTAAACTGTACTTTCGCCCAATGTTTCGCAATTTATAGCACGAGAACTTAAGGTCGATAACAACAGCAAAACTAAGTTAGGCGAGAATAGTGAATGGATGTCATTAAGTTATTGGCTCATAAGATGTTTATAATCAGAATGAACATGAAAGATAAGCACATCTGAGTCATGATTTGTGTAGTCGTAGTCATTTTTTAAACCGGAATCCACTGGTCAAAGTACTATGTGGCTATTTGACTATATGTATTCTAATCGTCTTCTTTTGGTGCTTAGCCACGTTTTTCATATTAAAATAAGCTACTATTTAAGATCATCGGTACTATTGATTTCCGACTTTTCTATTGGATGTTTGTAAACAATCCCTGATCGATCAGTGCCTTTATTTGTCTTTTCATTTCCAAACTACTGAATGTTTTTTACACTTAAAATTGATCGAACCATATAATAAATGTTAGCAACCTTTTATTTATGAGGATGCATTATCTAGACGTTGGGACTACATGCTAAAAACACTGTCCTTGTTTCTCATGTTTGGTTTTGTTGACATACACTACTCATTTATCCCTAAAGAATCAATTTCATCCATTTTCTATGCTTGATATATTTATTTGTTTATTTAGTATACAGCCTTTTCCTTCTACATCTCCATAATATTACCAGTTCATTTTGTGTGGGGAATTATTTCGATCCCCTGTTGTATCAGAATTGTCAGATGTAGTAAGCAGATAAAAATGAAGATCATTTGTTGGGTGGATTTTTAAGCGCGGAAATAATACAGCCCTTTAAGTAAATCCCACTTTTGTTCAATTGACAAGTAACTAACCATATTTGAAATCCTAGCTGTTTTCACACCGTCCACTGCTTAAAGACTCCGCAATCTGTCATAATAAACGAAAAGGCTGTCATTTTGTGCACGTCATTAAACTGGTACCTTTTTTAGCTCCTCATATGTCTATTTGTAACAACCAAGGGTCGTGTGGTAAATGTTTTCGACATAGCACAGTTAAGTTTTGGTCAGTGAGTCATATATAGCAGTAGACCTGGTACGACTATTTTGGTTCAATTCGCTGCACTACGCAACAAAACTAAGAATGAGAAATATGAAGTGAAATCAAGCTTATATTTTAAAAAGAAATAGAAAATAAATTTGTCTTTGCTACTGTAACTGACATTAGTTATGTCACAACATTAGCGACTTCGGATTATGATTAACTCGGTAGTTTACATCTACCGACTCGGCCCAAAATCCCTTATCCAGAATTACAGTAAGTTATGAGGGATTTCAACCCATCTACCACGTAAATGTTGGATTGAAATCAGTTGAAGGCCAGCTGTCATTTTTCATGAAGCGCAAATAAGAATCGGTTTCACTTAAACGATACCGTAGTAAACTCGATTGCAGCTTCCCGCAAACTCATCCCATCAGGTTCCGAACATGATGAAGAGCGACAACAAATCAGATCTAGGTTAAGAAAAAGTCTAAGAAACGACCGTGAGCAGTGGTGGGCAACGAAAGCAAAAGAGATGGAAAAGGCGACGACTATAGGGAACACAAGACAGCTCTACAGACTAATAAAAGAAACTGGAATTAATAAGTCAAGTGTAAGTGAGATTATATCGGAAAAAGACGATACTCTCATCTGCTCCCAGTCCAGACGTTTAGAACGATGGGTGGAACATTTCAGAGAACAGTTCAACTGGCCTTCAGCTACTCTACAACTACCCTCCATTCCCAGACAATGTGAATGGAACATTGAAGAAGGTCCCCCCAACTCTAGCAGAAGTTCAAAAGGCTATAGTTGGTCTGAAACGAGGAAGGGCAGCTGGTCCAGATGGACTGGGTCCAGAGGTCTTTAAGGATGGTGGTCCAACTTTAGCGATTAGGTTGACTAATATTTTGACTGGTCACAATCACTTATCGTCCCAATATATAAGAGGGGTCAAAATCATCCTGTGACAACCACAGAGGGATTAGTTTAACTACTATATAATATCTAAAATACTAGCTTCGATAATTATCAGACGCCTAACTAAGACTCGTGGACTGCAAACTCGAGAGAACCAAGCTGGCTTTAGACCTGGTCGTGGCTGCATCGACCACATATTCATCATTCGTCAGGTTCTAGAACACAGGCATACCTATCGGCGTCCGACGATGGTGGTGCTTCTTGACTTAAAAGCAGGATTTGACTCTGTGGACCTCGAGAGTCTGTGCCAGTGTTTGTTATTGAAAGGCGTACCCCAGAAGTACATAAACCTTGTGGGGGCTCTTTACTCGAACACCACTAGTCGAGTCAGAGCTGATGGCGACTTGTCATCTGCTTTTGCGTCCGTCAAGGCTGTCCACTTTCTCCATTTTTGTTTAACTTCATCATAGATCTACTGATGGAAATAACTTTCTCGTCGACTGAGTTCTCGGGTATTGATCACCTTCCAGGAGGTCCACTTATCGACTTAGAATACGCAGACGACATAGTCCTGTTTGGTGAAGACGCTGATAAAATGCAGTGTTTTGGTATCACTGAGCAACAATGCCAGGATGTTTGAGATGAGTTTCTCCTCCTCTAAATGCAAGTTGTTGCTTCAGGACTGGTCTGCGTCAACACCTGAACTAAGGATAGGGAGTGAAGTAGTCGAACACGTTGACAACTTCACTTATCTTGGAAGTCTGATCAACCCTAATGGCTTGGTGTCTGACGAAATTTCCCCACGGATTCAGAGAGTTCGTTTGGCTTTTTCCAACTTATGTCACCTATGGTGAAGGTGAGATATCCGTCTATCAACTAAGGGACGAGCATACCGCGCGGCAGTTCGTTCTGTTCTACTTTACGGCTGCGATGCGTGGCCACTAATGTTAGAAGATACTCGTAAGCTACTAGTATTTGACCACAGGTGCCTGAGAAATGTTGCTCGCATCTGCTGGGACCATCGGGTAAGTAATAGTAAAGTTAGACACAAGGTATTAGGAAATGATGGTAAATCAGTTGATGAGGTTGTTAATCTTCATCGACTGAGATGGTTGGGCCAGGTGTTGCGTATGCCCGAACACCGATTACCTCGACGCACAATGCTGACTAGTGTTGGAGATGGATGGAAGAAAGTTAGGGGCGGTCAAACCAAAACGTGGCATCAGTGCTTGAAGTCACTAACTTCTAGTCTGAGTCATGTTGGTAGATGCAGAATACTTGGTTGGGGTCCGCGTGACTATCGTAACAAGTGGTTTGAGACTCTTGGTGACATGGCTCAGAATCGATCACAATGGTGTAGGTGTATACACTCTGTCTTCCCTGAAACTAAGAGATTAAAATCACTTCATATCTTTCTTTCTACGAACCAATTTTTTCTTCTTGTACTATATCTCTATATTCAATCTTTCTCTTATAAATTACCACCTTTGACCTAATCACTGCTATGAATCCGGTGTTGATCTTGTTGTGCTGATGCGGTATGGCAACCTGGACCGATGCACATATGTACCTGGTCCTACGTTGTAGCTGACTGGCTGACTGACTCACGAATCGTTTCGCTTTGAAAATTAAGTTTTGAACTCTTTATAACGTT